ATAGATGGATCATGGCATTTGAATATCTTTTCCAAGGCTTTCATGGCTGCTCTACTGAGTGCTAGTCTGCAGCATATTTCGTGACTGCTTGTTCCTTTACTGTTGATGATTGATCCTAAAAGACAGAAGCTATCCACTACTTTGATATCCTCACTGTCAATTCTAAGGCTGGTTGTTCTACTTGATGTCATTAATTTGGTCTTTATATTTAATTTTAGTCCCATTTTTTTCATTGTGCCGTTTGACTTTTAGTACTAGGGCTTGCAGATTCTTTGCATTTTTGGCTATCAGGTCAGTGTCATCAGCACAGAAACATCAGAGGATGTTTCTTCCTCCAGTTTTAAAACCACGCTCATCTTCTTCCAATCCAGCTTCCCTTAATATATATTTCACATATAGGTTGAATAAATAAGGGGAGAGTATGCAGCCCTGTCTCACTCCTTTGTCAACTTAGAGCCAGTCTGTTTCACCACATTCTGTCCAGACTGTGGCTTCCTGACCTGTATATAAATTTCTCATGAGGACAATGAGATGTTCTGAGATTCCCATTCCACAGCTTGACATGATCGACACAATCAAAGGCTTTTCTATAACTGATGAAGCACATACTGACTCCTTGGGTGGATGCCATCAGAGCCTGATGATTTGTTGATGCCCAATTTGTCAATAACACCAAGCACTTCTTCTCTTGTCACCAAGAGAACTCAGTTCATCTGATTCCCTTCCTGAAAACAGGAGCTGAGGCTCTGGGATCTCCCCAAATTCTTCTCCTGTGAAGACGGAAGCAAAGGATTTGTTCAGCTTTTCTGCAATTTCCCTTTCTCCTCTTAGCACAACTTTGACTCCTTTTTCATCCAAGGAACCAAATGATCTCCCTGGCTGGCTTCCTCCTCCTAATCTTTTATTACCTGTCTTCACAGTTTTAGCAACATGCTCCTCAAATTTTCTTTTCGCCTTCCTCACTGTCACTTTGTATTTCTTTTGCCAGAATTTATATTCTTTTTTCATGCAAAACCATGGAAAGCTTCCTATTCATGAAGGAGGAACAAAACTGTGAGATCACATTGGAACATTTCACACAGTCCTCATCCTTCTCAAAAGGGTAGAGAACAGATTGCCCAGGCCACACCATTGGACATAATGGGATCTGCTTGAAGTTTGTACATCAGCATTCTTTGATGTCAGGGTTAGGATTAGCCCTCAGATCACATTTTAGTGGCTCTCAGAACTTCTAGCCATGATGTCTAAAAACTGATGGAACAATTCCTTGCCATTTCAATATGGGGAACAAATTAAAACTATAGTGTAAATCCTAAAACGTTCATATTGCAATTAAAAAATAATTTCTCAATTCCCCCTACCATATTCATTCTTCCACAGTTAGCAGCCCTCAACTGTTGTGAAGTCCTTGGTTGCCAAAAGATTGCCCACTCCTGCTCTAAATGCAGAAGAAAGTGTTCCCCAAAGGAAAAAAGAAAAGGGTGAAATTGGGCCTTCTCCTCCTCTCACCATGGTTGTATCTAGCCATTCATGTGCCTCCTTCTGGACACAACACACACTCAACTTTAGAGAGGGTAAGAGGACAAACATGCAAAAATTACTGTTCTTCTCTCTGCTCTATCACTGCTTTTTCAGAAGGGGCAAATGAGCAGGCAGAAAAGGGAAGGAGGAAGAGAAAGTGATACACGATGACGAATATCCAAGATAGTCTGTCCAGATACATTGCCTTACTATGTGAAAGCCATGATATTTGCCTGGATCTGGCAGTGTCTTATTGACTCTTAGTATAAAATATTGTGTATCTTGAGCTTTGGACCTGACTATGACTAGGACTTTGCCTATATTGTACTTTGAGTGCCTCTTTCAGCACTGACCTGAGACTGTGAGACTACTCTGAATTCTTTAGGGGGAACAAAGTCATGGAAGAAAGCAGCAGGCAAAATCCCATTTAGAACGGAATCAAATGATCAAGCTTGTCATATAATGCAAGTTATAAGCCATACAATTTTAGGCTCCTAGTTGGAGAAATGCAGTATTTAAATGCCCTTACACAGTGCAAAGTCACGGAACATGCCTTTGGTATACAGATAGTCCTTGACTTATGACCGTTCATTAAGTGACTGTTCGAAGTTACAAAAAATGTGCTGAAAAAAGTGACTTACGACCGGTGCCTGAAGTTATGGCCGTTGCAGCACCCCCGCAGTCATGTGATCAAAATTCAGGTGGTTGGCAGCCCACCCACACTTACAACTGCAGAGGCGCTTCAACTCCCCCCACCCGCCTATCTCCCCCCATCTATGCCCTCTTAGCCCCCTGCCACCTGGTCTCTGCAACACCTAAGCAGCAGCATGCCAAAACGCCCCTTTGCAAAAAGCTCCTGGGTGGGGCTGGGGTTTTGCTTCATGCTGCAAAAAAAAAAAAAAAAAAA